GGGTGGGGCATGTTAACGTTCCTTGTACGTTGCATACATGTTGGATGCTACGCAACTGAAGGGTTGGGGTGGGTTGGGGCATGTTAACGTTCCTTGTACGTTGCACACATGTTGGATGCTACGCAACTGAAGGGTTGGGGTGGGGTGGGGCATGCTAACGTTCCTTGCACGTTGCACACATGTTGGATGCTACGCAACGGAAGGGATGGGGTGGGGTGGGGCATGTTAATGTTCCTTGTACGTTGCTCACATGTTGGATGCTACGCAACTGAAGGGTTGGGGTGGGGCGGGGCATGTTAACGTTCCTTTTACGTTGCACACATGTTGGATGCTACACAACGGAAGGGTTGGGGTGGGGTGGGGCATGTTAACGTTCCTTGTACTTTGCACAATGAAAGGATGCTACTCAACGGAAGGGTTTGGGGTGGGGTGGGGCATTTAAACGTTCCTTGCACGTTGCACAACATTTTGGATGCTACTCAACTGAAGGGTTGGGGTGGGGTGGGGCATGTTAACGTTCCTTGTACGTTGCATACATGCTGGATGCTACGCAACGTGTACGTTGAACACATGTTGGATGCTACGCAACTGAAGGGTTGGGGTGGGGTGGGGCATGTTAACGTTCCTTGCACGTTGCACACATGTTGGATGCTACGCAACGGAAGGGATGGGGTGGGGTGGGGCATGTTAATGTTCATTGTACGTTGCTCACATGTTGGATGCTACGCAACTGAAGGGTTGGGGTGGGGTGGGGCATGTTAACGTTCCTTTTACGTTGCACACATGTTGGATGCTACACAACGGAAGGGTTGGGGTGGGGTGGGGCAAGTTTGTGCTTCTCCCTAATCGCCGCAGCTTGTTGATACCACCTGCTCTCAAAGTCCACGGTCTGCTGCGTTGCCTGCTGCCAAGCTGCGACCAAGACTCCCAAAATCCAACAAGGGCTGCCCTGTCAAAGCTTCAAGCAGTGCGCCTATTGCCCTTGATGGGGGGGCAAGCAATCAGTCTAGGGGGTGCCCGCGGCGGCTCGTGGTACTCCTTTCTTTTTGTGGTACCCCCTTTTTGGATTGTTTTTTTCCGTTTTTTCCCTAGGAAAAAAAAACAAAAAAAACAGGGTACCACGAGCCGCCGGGGCACCCCCTAGACTGATTGCTTGCCCCCATCAAGGGTAGTGGGCGCACTGTTTGAAGCTTTGACTAGGCAGCCCTTGTCGGATTTTGGGAGTTTTGGTCGCAGCTTGGCAGCAGGCAACGCAGCAGACTGTGGACTTTGAGGGCAAGTGGTATCAACAAGCTGCGGCGATTAGGGAGAAGCACAAAGCCTCTCTGAGTTTCAAACCGTGCGCTGTTTATCGTTTCCTGTTTGTTTTTTGTTTTGTTTACTGTTTTTTTAATTGTTTTTGTTTTGTTTTTGTTTTTTTTTGGGGGGGGTGTTTTTTTGTTTGTTTTTTTTGTTTGTTTTTTCATAATTTTTAACTATTTTCCATTTTCCAATTAATGAAGGTCTCTCGACGTCATAATTGTAGTTGTGGTTGTAGTGTGCTGCAGTGTAATTAGTGTAGCGTGATGAAGTGTAGTTGTAATTGTAGTTGTAGCTGTGGTGGTAGTAGTAGTGGTGGTAGTAGTAGTAGTAGTAGCAGTAGTAGTAGTAGTAGCAGTAGTAGTATTATTATTATTAGTAGTAGTAGTTGTAGTAGTAGTAGTAGTTGTTGTTGTTGTTGTGGTTGTTGTTGCTGCTGTTGTTGTAGTTGCAGTGTGCTGCAGTGTAATTAGTGTAGTTGTAGCTGTGGTAGTGGTAGTTGTGTAATTGTAGTTGTAGCTGTGGTGGTGGTGGTAGTAGTAGTAGTAGTAGCAGCAGCAGTAGTAGTAGCAGCAGTAGCAGTAGCAGTAGCAGTAGCAGTAGTAGCAGTTGTTGTTGTGTAATTGGTCAATTCGTGTAAATAATGTAATTCTGTAATTAGTGCAATTAGTCTAGTGTAGTGTAGTGTGGCGTACTTATATAGATGCTATTAGTGAAGTGTAGTGTAATTAGTGTAGTGTAATGTACTGTCGTAGGTTGCATTTGCAGTTGTAGTAGTAGTGTAGTGGTAGTGGTAGGGGTAGTGGTCTATCTATCTATCTGTCTATCTATCTATCTATCTATCTATCTGTCCATCTGCAAGCTTGAAAACGAAGCTATTCTGCGAGACTTCCTCAGTTTTTGAACCTGACAACGTCAAAAACGAAACAATTCTGCGAGACTTCCTCAATTTTTGAACTTGACAACGTCAAAAACGAAACAATTCTGCGAGACTTTCTCAATTTTCGAAGTTGACAACATCAAAAACGAAGCAATTCTGCGAGACTTCCTTCAAAAATGGAAAGTTGACTGCAGTGCTGACGGCCTCGTGTACCAATGCGTTTTACGATTTTTCCACTCCACCTGTCTAAAGTACTGCGCCTGCCACGAAAAAGTGAGGCCAGGTCATACGAAGTGCTGCACCTGTCACGCAAAATCATCGCCCTGACCTCCTAACATCTCTGATGAACATGTCTCTTGTACTGCGCTTGCCACACGAAATGCATCTTTGCAGATCCTCTGCAAATGTCCCACGCCTGCCATCGTTTTTGGAAATGCTACAAAACCCTCACGTTTTGCTTTCTTTTGGTAAGGTGCACAATCCCTTGCGCCTGCCACGCAAAACCACATCTGAACCTTCAAAAGTGGTCCAAGCATGTGGTGTTTTTAACATTTTGACTTGGAAATGTGCTTCGCGCCACACCGGTGTGCACTTTTTCAACATCTCAACTTCCAAAAGTGTTCTGAATGTGGTGTGTTTTCTACATGTTGACTTCGAAATGTGCTCTGCGCCAGAACGGCGTGCACTTTTTCGACATCTCAACTTCCAAAAGTGCTCCGAGACCGTCAGCTTTTAACACTTTTGACTTTGAAATGTGCTTCGCACCACAACGGAGTGCAATTTTTCGACATCTCAACTTCCAAGAGTGCACCGAACCTGGTGTGCTTTGTACATTTTGACTTGGAAATGTGCTTCGCGCCACCACGGCATGCAACTTTTCATCTCTCATCTGGCCACGTGGCTCTGCACCCGCCACTTTAGCGAGCCTACTGTTCGAGCCTCATTGGAAAAACACAGTGAATCGCGACGTTTCTACCTTTTCGCGCGCCTGCATCTTCTTTCTTCTGACTCTTTCTCTTCTCTGATCTTCTCTCTTCTGCTCTTCTCTTCTGTGACTCTTCTCGCCTCTGCTTTTCCATCTGTCCATATTGTCGGAAGTTTGACTTCTAAACTTCCTTCTAAACTTCCTTCTAAACTTCCTTTGAATAGCGTTTTGTGGCCCCAAAATAGGTGCCAGATTCTGGACCCAAAAATGGGGTCACGATATTAAAATTAGTAGCCCGGCTTCCAAGTTTGTGGTCCCAATTACGGGCCCATGGTATATGCGCCCCCGCTTCTGCAAAGAGCACGTTGAGTTGCGACAGGCGGCATCTTTCATTCATGTTTTCTTGTGCTTCGTGCCAAGATGCTGGTTTCACAGTATCACGGATATATGTATATGTATACTTTCATGTAGATGTCTATGTATATGTATATGTTTCTGTATATGTATTTGTGTGTATGAATATATATATATATGTATATATATATATTATATATATATATTGATTCTACATGGTTGATGTGAACTGAACAATGGATTGCTTTTCATGTATACTAAATCGCCTGAAATAAAGCCTGTGCACATGTAACAGTCAATGATCCATGATTTCAAACGACCTTCCAATAAGGATGGTCACGGCCTTGATAAGGATTGAAACTCGGACAGAAACTCCCACGACAAGACACATCTTTCGGACTACAAAAAAGGTGGATCGACGACCTGCAGCTTTCACCGCAATGCAGGTGACAATTGCTGGCGTAGATTGCCATTTCTTGTGTGGTTGATGGATGTTGACGGCACATCTGATACATGGGTGACAGCATATGACAACATGTCCTGAAACAGTTTGGTCCCTAGCTGCGCAGAGGACAGCCCCGCCGGTGCTGCAGAATTTGCACGAGCACAGCAACAAAGGCACTAGGCCAGCAGCGCCCAGCGTGTTGCCGACGGCAAACGGCACCTTGGTGCGCTGCATTTGGAGTGTGGCTTGAGACATGCCGAGAACACAAGATAACGCAAGTAATCGCACATGTGATCTACTGAGTTGCTTTGTCTTCTGCTGAGTTCTTGCGCTACTCCTCTGCTACTTCTCCCTTTGACCCTACCATTGGCTAATCTCCAGTGAGTTGGAATCCCCTTACTTCAGGACATTCTGCAAAGCATCGGTTTCCGACCCGTCTTGCACATTAAGCACATTTTAGCACCAATGCTCGGGTCAGCCCGGTTCGGTCATGACCGCCCCAAGGCGCATCGGCGGCAACCAAAAAGTCTGCAAATGACAAACCGAAGCTGCACGTGCGAGTGGAATGCGCCCACGATCTTCGAAATATGGATGCTGAGCATTGCTAAGCGGTAGTTTGTTGGCGTCGCAGAAGTAGAGAGTATGCACAGATATGCTTGCATTGCGAGCTATGCAACTGTGTCTGGCCCGATATGTGACTGAACCCACCCCGAAAAAGAATCAAATCAGCCCACAAAGAAGCCTGAATTAATTACCCTTGATTCTTTTCTTCTAGAGAACAGTACCACCATGCCCACGAGATCCTCTGAGGATTTCGGTGCATTCTTTGGCAACAAGTCGGACCCCTATGTGGTGGTGCGGTTCGGAGCCGAAGAGATCCTGGCCTGCACAGGCCGCTGACATCGACAGTTGACACATGCTGACACAAACTGCACGAATTTTACTTCCGTTGACGTGCCAAGGAAAAAGACACCTGTCATCGATGACAACTTGGATCCAGCTTCTCGCTGATGGGACCTCCAACACTGCTCCTGCAGATTTCACAGCTACCATAAGGATCAGTCCAGTCCAAATCAAGATTGTGAGGGGTATTCGCCTCCAATTTTTCGGTCTGTCTCTGGTCGTTCTGTCGTATTTTACTTGTCCCCTTCCCATGGGTGAATCCTTTTCAAACCCTTTCCGCGCCAGGTTCCATGTCCCTTTTTTGGTTTCTTCTAACGTTGCATGGAAGTATGCGCTTGAAACATGTAGACTAGTTTGCCGTGGGGCTAAGTAAATTCAACACATGTAGCCCTCCATGATTCCAGTTTATCACTCCAGTATGATCGCAACGTTTTAGGTCATGTAGACAGACCAGCCGGGATATTATTTTCATTTATTTTCAAGCATGTTCGATTTGACATCCCAGTCAAGAATGTGTCCCATCCCAGCTCTGACATTTTTTAGGCAGGTTACTTTCTGTATGGCTGTTGGTGAACCCGCTAATTCTCTTTGCCGGTGGTCTTATGTTACAAGGGCTGCTTTTCCCCACCTGTCAGGTGAGGGTTGTTAGATTTTATGTCAGCTGTCCCGCCTCCTCCTTCTCCTTCTCCTCCGCCGGACCTCAACTGCAAGCGCTAGATCGTAGTGTTCCCCGCCGGACCCGAACAGCGAGCTCAGGATCAGAGTGATCCCCGCCGGACCTCAACTGGAAGCGCTAGGTCGTTCTCTGCCGGACCCGAACAGCGAGCTCAGGATCAGAGTGATCCCCGCCGGACCTCAACTGCAAGCGCTAGATGGTTCCCTGCCGGACCCGAACAGCAAGCACAGGATCAGAGTGCTCCCCGCCGGACTTCAACTGCAAGCGCTAGATCGCAGCGTTCCCCGCCGCACCCGAACAGCAAGCTCAGGAGCAGAGTGATCCCAGCCGGACCCCGACCACAAAGAACCTTCGAAGATATACCAGTAAGAATGCCAGAAAGAATGTCAGAAGATATGCCAGACACAGATACATATGCCAGAAAGAATGTCAGAGAGAATGTCAGAACATATGCCAGAATGAATGTCTGAAAAGATGCCAGATAGAATGTCAGAATAGATGCCAGAATATGTGCCAGAAAGTGTGTCGGAATAGATGCCGGATAGAATGTCAGATAGAATGTCAAAGTATATGCCAGAAAGAATGTCAGATATTGTCAGATAGAATGTCAGAATAAATGTGCCATATATATTTCCAGTTGGTATGTCAGAAACTATGTCAGAATAAGGGTTCAGGGTGGGGATCACTCGAAGAAAGTAATTCTTGGGAAGGTCCGGTCAGAACTGCGTTCTTCCCCACATCTTTGTGTGGGGTTCTTGTTTTCGGTTCTGTATCCCGTCCGCCTCCGTCCGCCCGCCTCCGTCCGCCCGCCTCCCGCCGCCTCACACACAACTTACACACATACAACTTACACACACACACACAACTTACTCACACACACAACTTGCACACACACACACACAACTCACTCACACACAACTTGCACACACACACAACTTACTCACACACAACTTGCACACACACACACACAACTTACTCACACAAAACTTGCACACACACACACATTACTCACACACAACTTGTTCACACACAACTTGTCCACACACAACCTACTCACACACAACTTGCACACACACACACAACTTACTCACACACAACTTGCACACACGCACACAACTTACTCACACACAACTTGCACACACACACAACTTACTCACACACAACTTACTCACACACAACTTGCACACACACAACTTACTCACACACAACTTACTCACACACAACTTGCACACACACACACACACAACTTACTCACACACAACTTGTTCACACACAACTTGTTCACACACAACTTGTCCACACACACAACTTGTCAACAGTTTCACGTGGCAACTTTGTGTGGCAGGCGTGGCACTTTGTGACATTCACATTCACTTTGTGTGGCAGGTGTGGCACTTTGCGTGGCAGGCGTGGCACTTATGGCACTGGGCTGGCTCTGGTGGCGCGCTTGGTTTTATTTGTGGCGCCGGGAAGCCGCGGCTGTTGGCGTGGCAGGCGTGGCTGGCACTTGGAGACATCCATCCTCGTTTCACGTGGCAGGCGTGCGACTTCCACTTTTGCGTGGCAGCTGTGGCACGTATGGCAGTTGGCGTGGCGACATCCATCTTCGTTTCACGTGGCAGGCGTGGTGCTCGCGCACAACTTGTCGTCACACAACTTACTCACACACACTTGCTCACACACAACTTGTCATCACACCACTTGCTCACACACAATTTGTCGTCACACAACTTACTCTGGCGTGGCAGGTGTGGCACTTATGGCACTGGGCTGGCTCTGGTGGCGCGCTTGGTTTTAGGTGTGGCGCCGGGACGCCGCGGCTGTTGGCGCGGCAGGCGTGGCACTTGGAGACATCCATCTTCGTTTCACGCGGCAGGCGTGGTACTTGGTGACATCGACTTCTGCTCTGGCGTGGCAGGCGTGGCACTTATGGCACTGGGCTGGCTCTGGTGGCGCGCTTGGTTTTAGGTGTGGCGCCGGGACGCCGCGGCTGTTGGCATGGCAGGCGTGGCACTTGGAGACATCCATCTTCGTTTCACGTGGCAGGCGTGGTACTTGGTGACATCGACTTCTACTCTGGCGTGGGACATCCATCTTCGTTTCACGTGGCAGGCGTGGTGCTCGCGCACAACTTGCTCACACACAACTTGTCATCACACCACGTGCTCACACACAACTTGTCGTCACACAACTTACTCTGGCGTGGCAGGTGTGGCACTTATGGCACTGGGCTGGCTCTGGTGGCGCGCTTGGTTTTAGGTGTGGCGCCGGGACGCCGCGGCTGTCGGCGTGGCAGGCGTGGCACTTATGGCATTGGGCTGGCTCTGGTGGCGCGCTTGGTTTTAGGTGTGGCGCCGGGACGCTGCGGCTGTTGGCGTGGCAGGCGTGGCACTTGGAGACATCCATCCTCGTTTCACGTGGCAGGCGTGCGACTTCCACTTTTGCGTGGCAGCTGTGGCACGTATGGCAGTTGGCGTGGCGACATCCATCTTCGTTTCACGTGGCAGGCGTGGTGCTCGCGCACAACTTGTCGTCACACAACTTGTCGTCACACAACTTACTCACACACAGCTTGCTCACACACAACTTGTCATCACACCACTTGCTCACACACAACTTGTCGTCACACAACTTACTCTGGCGTGGCAGGTGTGGCACTTATGGCACTGGGCTGGCTCTGGTGGCGCGCTTGGTTTTAGGTGTGGCGCCGGGACGCCGCGGCTGTTGGCGTGGCAGGTGTGGCACTTGGAGACATCCATCTTCGTTTCACGTGGCAGGCGTGCGACTTCCACTTTTGCGTGGCAACTGTGGCACGTATGGCAGTTGGCGTGGCAGGCGTGGCATTTGGAGATATCCACTTTCGTTTCACTTGGCAGGCATCGTCCTTGGTGACATCGACTTGCACTCTGGCGTGGCAGGCAAGGGGTGGCTCTGGTGGCGCGCTTGGTTTTAGGTGTGGCGCCGGGACGCCGCGGCTGTTGGCGTGGCAGGCGTGGCACTTGGAGACATCCATCTTCGTTTCACGTGGCAGGCGTGGTACTTGGTGACATCGACTTCTACTCTGGCGTGTCAGGCGTGGCACTTATGGCACTGGGCTGGCTCTGGTGGCGCGCTTGGTTTTAGGTGTGGCGCCGGGACGCCGCGGCTGTTGGCGTGGCAGGCGTGGCACTTGGAGACATCCATCTTCGTTTCACGTGGCAGGCGTGCGACTTCCACTTTTGCGTGGCAGCTGTGGCGCGTATGGCAGTTGGCGTGGCGACATCCATCTACGTGTGGCGCCGGGATGCCGCGGCTGTTGGCGTGGCAGGCGTGGCACTTGGAGACATCCATTTTCGTTTCACGTGGCAGGCGTGGTACTTGGTGACATCGACTTCTACTCTGGCGTGGCAGGCATGGCACTTATGGCACTGGGCTGGCTCTGGTGGCGCGCTTGGTTTTAGGTGTGTCGCCGGGACGCCGCGGCTGTTGGCGTGGCAGGCGTGCACGGCACTTGGAGACATCCATCTTCGTTTCACGTGGCAGGCGTGCGACTTCCACTTTAGCGTGGCAGCTGTGGCACGTACGGCAGTTGGCGTGGCAGGCGTGGCATTTGGAGATATCCACTTTCGTTTCACTTGGCTGGCGTGGTACTTGGTGACATCGACTTACACTTTTGCGTGGCAGGCGTGGCACGTATGGCAGTGGGCTGGCTCCGGTGGCGCTTGGGTCGGCGTGGAGCACCGGGACGCCGCGGCTGTTGGCGTGGCAGGCGTGGCACTTGGAGACATCCACCTTCGTTTCACGTGGCAGTCGTGGCACTTGGTGAGATAAACACCTCTGCTGCATCACTTGCACTTTTGCGTACACTGTGACATGTTTGTGTTGGATGAGATTGTCGTACCTGCGTCATCTGTAGCCATTTGACACCATGCAGTCAAACACTGTGACATGTTTCTGTTTGGATGCTATTTTCGTGCCTGCGTTATCTGTAGCCATGTCAGTCAGACAGCCACTACACATTTCGAAAACATGCAGTCACACTGCAATGACACCACCACCCGGAGCCAGAGATGATTGCATCGCACTCAAACAAGAGATGACCACTTGGCATCGTAAGCCAGCTGCTTTGATGTGACATGTTTCTGTTGGATGTGATTTTGGTACCTGTGTGATCTGTAGCCATTTGACGGCATGCATTCCGACAGCAATTGCATTCCAGTCAGACAGCAATTGCACGTTTCCTGCGACGGGATTGCCGCGCCGTGCGAAGATTCCTTGTCGCTGCTAGCGGCTCTGCGGTGCGCGCGCCTAGATTACCGCGCCGTGCGAAAATCTGGCGTCGCGCTCCCATAATTTTGAAATCGCGCTCAGTGCCGGAAAAAAAAAGAGGCTGCTAAATCACATGGCATGTGCGCGCTCTGTTAAAATGCCTTGCTTGCTAGCTGCAATAGATGGAAGACAATGACCTCAAATGAAAATCACTCACTCTTGACCTGCTCACAAGGTGTCAATTCTGCGGGTAGAATTTTGGCTGCAGCTCTCGAACGGCGTCAACAGCTTGTGAGTAGTGTATTCACATTTTGTGTGCATCCAGAAACCAGCAGACTGGATTAGCAAGGAATAGATCATGCTTCTAATTACACACAGATAAGAGCTGCGAACGTAGCGGTCTGATCCGGCTGTTTTGGGCCGCCGTGGGGAGAAATTGCTGGATCATAGGTTGTAGAAAGATATGTCTTTGGAGAAAACAGCCAATGGCGTGTGAGCTCGCCGCAAGAAGGGCGACACGACGTTCAATGGCCCCACCCGTACAACCGAAGCGGCTGCGAACGAAGATAAGCAGCAATTAGAGGAGGCGGCAGCGGTGTCCATGGACCGCTTGAGAGAAGTTCATGCCCGGCTTCGGCGCGGTGCTCGTTGTGCCTTTCCTGCTCCTTCCGTGTCTCAGCATGGTAGCGGTTGGCGGGTCCGTGTGACCATAGACAAGAAGAAAGTGTGTGGCCCGACGAGGAAGATGCGAGCGGAAGCAGAGAAAGACTGCCGCCGTCTGACAGAGTCGGAGCACCGCAACACAGCGGAGTTGCAGAGCGCAGTGGAGCGCTTGCACCAGGAGGTTGCCGAGGTTGGCGCCGACATGGACCAGGAGGTTGCCGACATGGATGAGGAGCGTCATGGAGCAAACGCCGGAAGACATGTCGCTGACTGAGGATGCCCGCTCGAGCAGACGTGCGATTGACGCGCCGTGCGAAAATCTAGCGTTGCCGCTACAATTTTGATATAGCGCTTTGTACCGAAGGAAAAAAGCTGCAACAAATAGAGTTGTCACTGTGCATTCATTTGCTCCGCCTGCATGAGAGATGTTCTGCTTCAGCGCGTCTGATGAAAGCGTTTGCTGCCAGGTAACGACTTTATCGCGCAGATCCAGCACTCTCGTGCGTCGTCATCTTTGATCGTGCTGTTGCGGTACGTCTGCTGAAAACGTTTAATGCCAGGTACCGCCTTCATTGGCAGACCCAACACTCTGGTGCGTCGTGGTCTTTGATCGTACTGTTACTTCTGAAACTGACAGTCTTCATGATGACGTCGCCTTTTCTGTATAGATATAACAGCTTGCTGTTTTGCGTTGTTCTGCCAGGTACCGCCTTCATCGCGCAGATGCTGCCGTTTCTGAACATACTGTTCGAAGCAGTGGTCTCAGCAGTAGACATCAACCAATCATAATGACAGAGAAAGAGAGAGAGAGATATACATATATATATGTAGAGACACCGAAATTCCAAGTTTGCTTGCTGATTTGTAACACTAGAATAACTGAAAACATCGATCTCTGCTCCAGGAGCTCTCGGCTCAGTTTTCGTCATTTTTGCTGTGTAAAATGTCTTGCTCTTTTGCCGGTATTAGAATAGAAACTCGCTTTACGATTTCTCTGACCGCCTTGCGCCTCTTTCGCCAATGTATGGAAGAAACTAGAAACGTTTGGAAGCCCAAGGACGATTGACAGTCAGATTTCTCCTCGAGATTGGAAGGAAGCATGGATGTCATGTCTTGAGTGCTTGGAGCAGGCAGAGGGCAGAGTCTATGACTTGGAAGGCGATGACTGCATCATCTTGGCCCGGGTCAGACGTCTTCTCTGCGTGGCCTCCATGGACGACTGGTCCCTTCTTAAGGTTCTGGAGAATAATGCAGCAGTGTTGCAGCTGGAAGCGGTCGTGCCACAAGGAACCTCCTGGCGTGACTTTCCCGCCTTCGTCGGCAGGTACCATATAAGAGTCAGTTTGAAGCTGCTGTGGGCGACCTCGGCATGCTGCGTGCCGCGTGGGAGTCTGCAGCGGAGGTGTCGTTGCCATATGCCGCTTGGCTGTATATCGCAGAAGTGCAACTGGAGGAGACTTTCTGGACTTTGTGACCGTCCGCGGTTGTCCGTAGTCGTCCGTGATGTTCGATGTGGCTGTTACCTTGTCTTGGACTTGATCCGGATTCCGTGTGCAGTATATACCGTTTATAGCCAAGGGGGCTAGCTTTGGCTTGGATGGATTGACGCGCCGTGCGAAGATCTAGCGCCTGACGCGGCCATGTGATGGACAGAAAAAAAGATCACGTTCATGACAGATCAAAACACTTTCTGTGCAATCGGTTGCCGCTGTTCTTGTGTTGCCTGCTTTCAGTGGGAGCTACATTACTACACTTGCCACAGTCGCTTGGCAGGTCCAGCACGCTGCGATGTCGTCATCTTTGGTAGTGCTGTTGCAGCTGACGGTGCTCATGTATCTGTGCTTCCAAAAAATGACACTGGCTCCTGGCTCCGGTGGCGCGCTTGGGTCGGCGTGGAACAAGGGGACGCCGCGGCTGTTGGGGTGGCAGGCGTGGCACTTGGAGACATCCACCTTCGTTTCACGTGGCATGCGTGGTACTTGGTGACATCGACTGGGCATGTACCTCTGCTGCATCACTTGCACTTTTGCGTACACTGTGACATGTTTGTGTTGGATGAGATTGTCGTACCTGCGTCATCTGTAGCCATTTGACACCATATATATATATATGCATCCGTACATCCATCCATCCATCCATCTATCCATCCATCCATACATACATACATGCATACATACATGCCTACATACATGCATACAACACAACTTGTCCATACACAACTTACTCGTACTTACTCTTCCACACACAATTTGCTCCACACCAATCCTTCACCATCTGTTTTCCCTTTCCCCATGCCATCTTTACCTTTTTTTTGCTGCTTGCTGGAAGAAAGTTGACATGTGGGGTTATCCGGTCCTTTAATTTTTTGCTGCAGGTTTGGCACGAGGGCAGGGAATTCACCTTCACGATCCCGGAGGAACCTCCCACTTTGATCGAACTGGAGGCCCCTCGTGAGGGTCGAAGGCCCAAACTACTTAAAAGTATTGGATAGGAGAAATTTCGGAAGTATTGACTGACTTCACACAAACACAGCACATTCAATGACTCCAAGGTGAAGTACTAAGACTAAGTGAATAAGCACATTTGTATGGCATACGTGAATTCTATTTACCTGTAGCAGTTCAGGATTGTTTATGTAGTCGCAAATACTTTTTTGCTATGACTTGAACTGGCCCCATCTGGATTTCCGTGCCGCTGCACCAGGTCTTCAATTCAAATACCTTCGTGGATGACGCCTGGCCACCATGATCCAGGTGGAAAATGTTGTTTTTTGCAACGTGACAAACCAAGAGCCGTCGAGAGCCATCCAGAGCCATCCAGAACCACTACTGTACAGTAGTTTCACAGTGTTCACAGTTTTCACATCAGATCATCCCAGTTTTGCGGGTCATCTAAGGACACCTTGGGAAAGACTTCCATCGCTTTCAGTACGATCCCTGCCACCGGGCAATGGCTCCATCGCAGGGATCCATTGGTGGGAAAGTCCATGGTGACACCTGCGCAGGGTGAGTTGGAGTACGAGGTCATGCTGGATGCCAAGGTCAATTTGACAGATGGGACAGCATGGGACAGCATGGGACAGCTAAGATCAGATATGGTCGGTTTGAAACGGATTGAGAATGGGTTGAAGACAATTGAATTGGTTGAACATCTACACACACAACCTATCATTGGACGTGTCAAAACCTCCAAGTTGCTGGATTTGGGGGTAAGTATTCGGCCACTCACTCGGTGTGACTTCAGCCGTTGTTTGGCAGACAATTGTCATGTCATGTCATGTATATATATATATATACTCGTCCCAGGCATCCTCCGGCCGCCATGGCCCAGCGGCTCGTGGGTCGACGGCACGTGCCGTGGGACCGGGAATGCCAGCACCTCCTCCTGAGGTGCTGTGATGGCCAGTGATGTCCCAGTTACGGCCAGATTGAATTGATATTTAATATTGACGGCAATTGATTGCAATTGATGGGCGCGTCAGAGGATGTTAAGTTTGATGGTCAAGCCATGCCAACACCGATCGCTCAGATCTAGACTTTCTGACTTATCCATGTAACTGGTTTCTCTTTTTTAAGATGCGACCATGATTCAAGAATTCTCGCGAATTCTGGAATAGACAGCAAGGATATGTGCAAGCAGACGCTTTCCTCTCAGTGTTGTAATTGTTTGTATATAAATGTTGTTGGATAGATCTCTCACAACCGTCCAATGACGTTTGCAGGATATGGAGCCAGGAGCATACAAGGCCCTGGGGCTCTGCGGAGGTTTGCGGGGGCCATGTGGGGGTGTTGGGCCTTTGCTTCGGAACCTTATCCCCAACCATGCTGGTAGATCTGGTCAGGTCAGATGGAAGGGTTTCCATCCGGCAGGTGACAATGAGCACCGCGGTGTATCGGACCTCCACCAAGTGCACCGATCGCGACGTCGTAGCGCACGTGGAGCAGGGACAACAAGTTCAGGTGGAAGAGGTTGGACTGTTGGGCCTTGTGGGAAGAAAGTCAAGCAACTGGGCCGATGACCAAACCCTGGAAGAGGTTTGGGAAAGCTGAGAGCAAGGGAAAACTGGGAAAGGGTTCGGGATTCTGAAAGCAGATTGGTAACTGATGGTAGTGGCATAGCATATATTGCTTCGAAAACCTCCAGCCAAGATCTTTTCCTGGCAGCGAGAAGGTGATGAATTGTTTGTCTGAAGAACGAGTTCGGGGTCTCATCTCAGAACCCAGAGGCGCATTCAGAGTCACAAGTGAGCCCCCAACCCATTCAGAGCACTTGTATACTTCAAAATACTGACTGCATGCATGTGCAAGAAATCTGGTAAGTGGATGTTTTTTTACCATCAATATCATCAATCACATTATATATTTGCCTGGGCCTGTTGTCTTTTGTGAAGCGTAGAACCATGGAAGCTCCGAAGGAGTCATCAGGAAGCAATAGTACAGCATGCCTGTTCTTAGTGTCATGAGTATGAAGATTCTAAAGCAATATATGAGCAATGCATCCTTTCTTTGGCTAATTGGTGCATGAACATCCCCTTGACAACTGCTGGTGGAACCACCTTCCAAAGCTGTCTCTGGCAAAGAGTTTGTTGACGGCGTGGCAAAGATAGATGGATTCTTCCTCAGTTGCCAGTGTAAGCTGGACGAAATGTTGGCTCTTTGCTGAATCCCATTCTCTGTTCAAAAGTCATGGTGTCCATGTCATGGCCTTGCGGACCTCTCTCCAGGTTGGATTCCACTGATGGACACACGCGACGGCTTTCGCTGGGTGCAACAGATTGTCTCTTGGAGCAGTGTTTTGGGGTGCACACCAAACTCACTACCTATCAAAAAAACAGAACAGTTTGTTTTGATAATTTTTGACTACGTTGAACGCAAAATTCAATGCAGACTTCAAATTTCAAAAAAGAAATATCACACATGCAGCAGTGGTTTAGCAACTACTTGTAATATCATGTGGTTGTTGTGGGACCTCTTTATGATTTGAATCAAAGAACCCTTGTTGCTCAAAGTCTTGGAGGGTTTTGCTTTGGCGAAGATGGGCTTGGATGTGATTCAAAACCTCTGGACACTTGGAAATTGACTTACGCATAATTATGATTTTAGGTGATGTAACAGTGATGTATGTAATATTATGTAATTATATAGCCATCGACTTTGATGAATGTTGCATGTGCGCAAACGTAGATAGGTAACATGTTCCTGTATATGCGTATGCAGATGTGCGATGGTGTGTGTAAATGTACATTATAGTGGATTCACACATTGTATGTATACAGAATAAATGCCTGTATATGTCCTGGCAGCCCTGGCATCGATGCCCAAGGAAAATGCAAATAACAAGAAGGGACGTGTGGTTCCAGCCTGCCTCCCCCTCGACTGGGTCAACATCACAGCTGCTGACCCCAAGGTTCGGCAAAAGTACCTGGTGGACAACAGCTGGCACGGGGCCCAGAGATCCAAGGTGCCAAATCATCATAGAGCGCTGTGCTCACGCATAGATTTTCACACATACACATACAATATGACTATGACACATACACATACAATACAGATATGCATGCCAATGTGTTACACTACACGTATACGAATCTTTTAATTTGTTTATTCTGTGGATCTCATCTCGCACGTTCGAGAAGCCAGAAGATGGAATTTACACTCACATGGTTTGCTGACCTTGGCTGCAACCCTTAGTGCCTCTCCCATTCTTCCCGTTCCGACAGATGTATGGAAAAAGCGTAGCAAATACTATACCTTGTGTAAGGTAAGATATGCAGAAAGAGTTTCAGCAGGTGGGCAGCAGAATGGATCTTAGCTCAGCTATTGGCTATATGCATAAGCCGTCCACTACTTCCATGATGCAAAAGCCAGTTCGTCATAGTTCGTCGTTGGTACAACTTGTATATCAACTTGTATATCAACTTGTATATCAACTTTGCAAACCTCAATTAGGCACCTAAGAATGCCAAAGATATCTTAGGTTCTATCAGTTCTATCCACAGTTTTGGGGACTGGTCCTCAGGTCCTGTTTGGTCCTGTCTGCTCCTGTCCTGTTTGGTCCTCCAGCAACAGCTCTTGCTGCTGAGAGCTAGCTGTAGTTGCTGATGGCAAACTCCCTCAACTTGTCAATCTTCCAATCTGTTCCAACATCTTCCAAACGCTGTCAGTTTTTCCACCCCATGGCCACAGGTTGAAATCGCCCTGTGGTGGGTTGGCATATCGCTTCAGCAAGGAGGTTAAGAACAAGGCGCGTTGCCTCCGCACCAAGGAAGGTAGGCAGGCAGGATATTTTTGAGGTTGTATTCTCTCCCACCCAACGATATGGACAGGTCTATAGTGGAACGCTCAACTTGACTTTCATTCTCAAGATGGTGATCCCAGTTTGGTCTTGCTGTTCAGGAAATTCCATAATTTCAATCCATTTTCTGCTTCAGGTTCGCCGTGCTGCGTGCATCGAATCTGTTTCAGTGTCACATAGAGCGCGGTCTAATAAATACGATTGAAGACTTCTAAGCTCCAGAAAGAAAAGATTGTTCAGGAATGTTCAGGATGCTTGAGTGTAGTGAAAACCAATACGGTTGGTGATCATTGGGTGGTATCTCAGCGTGTTGTTGTGCAGGACGAGCGACCTGGTGAACAGGGTGGCGCGTTTGGCGACCCAAAGAACGGCTTTGACAGCCTTGACTGAGTGAAACGAATTGCCTGTCTCCCAAAAACATGGGACTCCCAAAAACGATGAATTATATAATTTCCCCGGGAGCCATTTCAAGCTGCTGTTCCGTCAGTCATGTTAGGTTCCCACAGTTTTGGGACATGCACACGACTTAGAAACGAGATAGTGACCCAAAAACATCAACTACAAATTCAAGGTGTGGCTGTTTTTGACAACGGTTTTCACAGCGAGCAGCTTCTACTGTAGTAGTTTCTATTCAAGTGTTTGAGTATATTTTGGTGCCAAGATTTTGGGGGTGTTTCTGAATCGGCAAAGATGTTAATTGAAGTTTGCCTTCTAGAACTAGATACATGAGTAAATCTGAGAAGTTTTTACTTGGAAAACGTTGCTGACTTTCTGATTCCTTGCCAAGATCATGCTTTCTAGATTCACATTGATCCATTGACAAGCGCAAGCAATTACATTTCAAAGGCATATATATAATTATTGGTGTGTCTGAAAACGGGGTATACCCTAAAATAGTCTTTTTAAATAGGAAAATGATAATAAACCATAATAAACTATTGGATTTTGAGGTACCGTGTTTTCAGACAGAACCATAAATGTTCTACACTGCATGCAGAAAACATATCCATGTGCACATGGGGTTATTCTTATTCATAGACCCTGTATGATCCTCCCAGCAAGATCTGGAAGTTGTCCTTTCATATGACTTACATCACCAGTGGTGAAGATCCCATGCCATAGCTTCCATAGCTGAGGCCTTGGAGCTCAGTGGTGGTGGGTGAAGATCAAGGCGATGGTTGGCTCAAGGCCACTGGTGGAACCCACGTATGAAACATTATGACCATTATGAAACAAAAACAGAGAAACGGCGGATACCACACAGGCTGCCACACAGGCTGCCACAAAACTTGGAGTCCGCTGCACCTAGTTCTTGGATCAGCTTTTGTTGTAAGTAATTGTGCATTTTTTCAATTTCAGGTTAAAAGCTGAATGAAGATCGAAGTACTTTCTTGTGAAATATGAGATGCTATGTTGAACAGCTCAAGTCAGCGGCTAACACCGAAAGCTGCAGATCTCCAGCCAGGGGCGATAGTTTCACTTGCAAAGAGCTTGAAGGTCCATTTTGGTTGATGGAGTTGGGATTTCAAGGTGTGCATTTTTGAATGGAGTTTCACGCCAGCTGTTGGATCAACCCATCAACATTTCCAAGCTACCCCAGCTGGCCACGGAAGCAGCAACGCTTTAATTGCTACGGGAAGATATGACAGTGAAAAAAACATCCAAGGGACATTGAGCCATAGACCACGACCATGAATTTATTCACAGGTTTATCCACGACAATCCCGGTCAGAGTCACAAGTTGATCACCTTTCACAGTGGCCTGCCGCAATGCTGTGAGGTGGCAGATGGTCGGCTGCTTCCTATGAACATCCAAGGCACAGCGTGTGTTGACAATTGGGTTCCGCCCGACCCGTTGTTGAACCCCTTTTGTGTGACATTTAAGCCATCCCTGGCCCTAGCTGAGAACTAATTGCATGGGCCTTTTAGCTGCTTCCCTCGTGTATCGGCTAGCTTCCTGGGAAGGAATGAGTCCCACGTCAAGCACCCTGGCTCTCATGTATCGCATGTGTGTTCTGCGGGTTTCCCTAACTCCAACCCTGAAAGATCAAGATATTGGATTATCGAAGATGGTTCTCGCTGATGATTTCCATTGATTTCCCAAGAAAACAGATCAAATAGATTCAAATAGATTCAAATAGATCAACAGACAAACAGCACACCGAGGTCGCCATTGATTTGTTGCCAGGTGTGCCAGTTCTGAAAGCCTTGGACGATGGCCGCGGCGTAGATCGTACCACTGCCCAGGCAGAAGACGAGCTTGACAGGCGAGGTGCTGCTATGAACATGTAAATATTATGCAAATATCAAAATTGAATTAATATTAGCAGCATGTAAAATTGTGTACTTTAGATAATTGTAAATATATTCAGGGGGCAATTACAGCGCTGCTTTCAGGTGTGCATACATGCATTGCGTTGCAATACAAAACATTGGATTATCTATCAAATGGATTCTGAACTCTCAGCCGGGAAAAGAAAGATGAAACAGACACTTTGCAAAGCTGGCGGGCTGTTTGTACCATCAATGGGTTTTTCAGGCAAGGGGAAACGGAGAGGCACATGTTTGTGGAACTTCTGCGCATCAGTACTTAGCAATGGACTTTGGCCAAATTTTCTACTCAACAGAAGCTAGCTACCACATGCGTGTGACAGTATTTGCGTTGCTGTATTTGAGTGAATCCTAGGATCATCCAGAGCTTGCTGTTCAGGTTGTACCGCGAGCTGAATCGCCGAATGGAAGGTGTGAAAGGCTGACCTCTAGGTGGCCAAGATGGGAAGCGCATGCCACGCAAATTAGGCGTTGATACATGGAACAAGGGTGGATTGACCCAGATCCAACATTGCCGAGGTGGTCAGATGAAACTAGGTGAGAAAACACCCAAGAAGGCAGGACATTGATATGACATGATATGACATTGATGGGATGGATCCATGGTCAAAATGAGTCCCCAGTTGTCCTGAAGAGGTTCAAAGTAACCTGTACTCAAAGAATCAAGCACACAAGAAGGGAGACCGGGAGATCATGGAATGTCAACGTTTGCTGGATTTTGCCGGTATGTTGTTAGACCTTTGCTTGGCCTTTCAGCATCATTCAGCAAGACTTTGGCAACATGTTTAGAACTCAAAAACGACAAAAATGACCCTATTTGATATTATTTGATCATACCAGTGTGTTGTTTCCCCGTGGCTTGGGTGGTTCTATTGGAGAAGGTTGCGAGTTCACCAAGATATCTTACATCACAATGGTTATCTATGTGTTTCTGAGGTTTGAAATATTTTGAAATGATTGCCATGGTGACCAGGTGACCATTGGACGAGACATCCCGGGACCACTGTGGGTGTTTGGCTGCGCAGCCGCTGAGCCTCTGCCAAAGTTGCAGCAGGGCCTTGCGGAGACAGAACGTTGCTTTGGAATGCTTTGGACAGGATCCAGAGTCTGACGAGGGACCAGGGCCAACACTGGGGTAGCAAGAATCCGGAATCCAGTGGAAGTGGTCCAATACAGCAGCGTTCCATTTCCAGTCAATTCCCAAACTTACCTTATATGGAGGTCAATTGCAGGTCGATTGTTTGGAGGCTCTTACATAAATTCATTGCCGCTGCTCAGGGATGTTCATTGGAATCAGTATCATCCAGTATCTATCTGTGGGGTGCCGGAGGGTGCAGGTTTGGCCAAGTGATTTTCGGTCCGTAATGGAGCTGGGGGCGTCTATGTAAGTCCAAAGAAATCCTGTTTCACACCATTCGCACCATCCAGCAGGGGATGCAGCTGATTTGCACTGGTAGGGAATCCGCAGAGAAATTTGACGGTTTGATCCAAGGGACTGGTCAGAGAATGCGTGGTTCCAGCATAGGTCCACAGGTTCGAAACCAAGCCAATTAACTCCGCCGGGTCCATGCGCCGATTTGGCTCAGCTATTGTCTTGTATGTGTTTTACTTGGGAGGTCGGTTGAGTCCGGGTGCCAACTCGGGCACCGACTGCAGCGGCGACAGCCAGGATGGTAGGTGAAAGTATATAAGTGTAATGTTCAGCGACATGAATCGATATTTTACTGGGAGATTTGTTTGTGTTTTCCAACGGAATTCTGCAAAGAGTCTGGCGACCATCTAGTGGAGCTGGGTGCTTCTTTGAACCACAGGTGGCCCTGGTCCTACCTGCTTCAAGAGATCAGAATACATGAGACAAAGGATCACACTTATGACTTATGACCTGTGATCACTTATGAATATATACTTACGATTGATTCTCGTAGGGACCTTACTCACCTAAGATAGCAAGCGCAGAGACACGTAATCCACGAAGAGAACCCCGAATTGTCTCAAATTAATCAGGTCAGCCTGGATGGAGGCAGCTGGGTTTACAGTATCCCAACAATTCTGTTGACCATCTTGGCCCTAGGTTTTTCCATTGTTTCAGGCTGAAGTCTGCCGGGCCATATTTGATTTGGAATCATCCATGGATTTGAGGTCCGGTGAGGGGCGTGAGTCCACCAGGCCCATCTGGGCGTTTGCATGCTTGGATTTGTTTTTGTGTTTCATTTTGTAAGACAGTACGGTCTATTAGATTTTATTAGTCTATGTCACGTGCATCTGGATTTCTTGGTACGCCCCTTTCAGAATTTAGAAGCTTCCTGCACTGCAATTGGCAGGCGACATGCCTATGAACCTGTTAGATCTGGAACCGGCAACGACGTTGCACTTCTGCCCGGGCCTGAAGTCGCCATGAACGCACCGTGGCCAGCCATGAGAATCCATCTGACTGCTGAGGTAAAACGCCGACGAACACGTCGCCAAATAGGTTCCGCTGAGCTGGGGTACTGACGACCAGTGCAAAGCAGATCTGCATGGGTGAGCCCAACTCAACAGTATACCGGAAGATACAGAGAATGTGTTTGAAGTAGTTCCTTGGTCCGGCTTGAAACAGCAATTCGGGCCATTCTGTTTGGGTGGGGTGCTGCAGGATGTTGAAATGAGGTATGGACGGTATGTATGTAGTCTCTCTGATGCCAGTTGTATGAGATTTTTAAGCAAGCCTACCCCGAGCTGCCCATGCAAAAGATATGAAGCGATGAGGGATTCAAGATGGGCCTGCATTTTTGCCAGCAATTGCCCCTGAGTTGACAGGCCATGTTGTTCTTGTCTCGTCAACTGAGCAGTTGTAGCCCAGGGCAAAGAAAAATCAAATTGTCTTGGCTTCTTTCAGAAACTCTCTTACTCTCAAATCATCTTCTTTCTAGTTACTCTTACTTGGCCCCTTTTGTCCGCTGTAGGAAGCTGATGCTGAGCAACAAGACTAGCGGATACGTCGCCTTCAAGGCACCTCATGGAGGGGGAACTGCAACGTTGCTCTTGAACTGTTCTCATGGTGCCCATGGATTGGACTTGATCAGCGTGCATTTTCTCATGTTCAGTTTCCAATGCTCTGCGAAAGGCAGTCTCGATATCCAGATTTGTTTTCCTCCCCCAAACCATTGATTCAATCATTGGCAAAGTCAAGTTCCAGAATTCAGCACCAAATCAATGGCTCTATGGGTGTCAAATAGGTCCTTGAAGTTGGGCCCCAAAGCAGTCGCGGGGTTGGAAACATGGTCCATGGTATACATGTGAGGGTCCAACATTGTGGTAACACTTACCATTATCAATTGCACATACAATGCATATACTATTATGCACATACTATGCACATACTTTGCATATACTATGCATATACTTTGCATATACTTTGCATATACTATGCATATACTATGCATATACCATGCATATACTATGCATATACCATGCATATACTATACATATACTGTATTTTGCTCATACTATGCAAATACTTTGCATATACTATGCATATACTTTGCATATACTTTGCATATACTATGTATATACTATGCATATACTTTGCATATACTTTGCATATACTATGCATATACTATGCATATACTCTGCATACACTATACATATATTGTGCACATACTATGCATATACTATACATATACTATGCATATACTATGCATATACTATGCACATACTATGCATATACTTTGCATATACTATGCATATACTATGCATATACTATGCATACACTATGCATATACTTTGCATATACTATGCATATACTTTGCATATACTATGCATATACTTTGCATATACTGTGCATATACTTTGCATATACTATGCATATACTTTGCATATACTTTGCATATACTATGCATATACTATGCATATACTATGCATATACTATGCATATACTATACATATACTGTAGTTTGCTCATACTATGCATATACTTTGCATATACTATGCATATACTATGCATATACTATGCATATACTCTGCATACACTATACATATATTGTGCACATACTATGCATATACTATACATATACTATGCATATACTATGCATATACTATGCACATACTATGCATAGACATTGCATATACTATCCATATACTTTGCATATACTATGCATATACTATGCATATAATATGGATATACCATGCATATACTATGCATATACTATGCATATACTATGCATATATTTTGCATATACTCTGCATATACTTTGCATACACTATGCATATACTATGCATATACTATGCATACACTATGCATATATTTTGCATATACTATGCATATACTATGCATACACTATGCATATATTTTGCATAGTCCATGCATATATGTTTTGCATATACCATGCATATACTATGCATATACCATGCATGTACTATGCATATACTGTATTTTGCTCATACTATGCATATACGTTGCATATACTATGCATATAATACTATATATGAGTTACTATGCATATACATGCATATATTATGCATATACATGCATATACATGCATATACTATGCTTATACTATGCATATACATGCATATGCTGTGCAGATATATATCATATTATATATTGTTCGATGTATTCCGTTCTTCTTTAGGGAGAACTCAGATGTCACAGGCACAAAAAAGGGCATGTCCATTTTGCCCCATCAAAAAGTCCAAAGTCATTCCAGCGTGGCATTCGCGCATCAACTTGACCTAGGTGAAGACCACGGCTCCAAGGTCCTATCTAGTCCGGCCCAGCGCAGCTACCCTCGGGCCTGGCGCTCAACAGATCGGGGCCACCAGTGTCGTTGGTTGGTGAATCCTGGCGGAATATGTTTTAAGAAGATGACATAGGACTGATGTCACAATCAGCAAAGTATTTAAGTATTTCCTGCAGACACAAACCTGTTCACCCTGGATCACTTGGATCACTTGGATCACTTGCATCAGGCTCTTTTCATCTTTCATTGGGACTGGAAAGCTGTGGGAAATGAACCAAGGCCTCACTGCAAAGAGGAGGTGACCATTATCCTGCAGTCCGGCAGCCTATGCTGCCCATTGGGTGTGACGGGAGGTCGAGAGCAGCCTCCACAAATGGCCTCCATAGGGCATTTGAAGTCGTTTCAAGATTCAGATACGGCAAATACTAATACCATGAAACGCCCTCAGACTTCATGATGTTTTAGTAACTGACTCTTTCCAAGTGTTTTCCCCAAAACTCCAAAGCCACACATCAATGGCCATGTTGTCAAATGGCCACGAATTAGGAACTGTTATGAGACTGTTATGAGAGTCAGGAGGAGAGAGGTCGCCAGATCTTGGTCAGTGATCATTACGTAGTCCTGCTTGGTTGGAACTTTTCCTCTCAGTGCTGATAAAGCAATCAAGCTCCGGCACTGATCCATTGTCGGTCCGTCATCCATTTTTCTAGGGATAAGCAATGGTTTGACCCCCCAGGCCACCAGGCGAAGGGCAAAACCACCGGTTTTTGGTGCAGGTCGGGTACTGGTGGGAGGAAAACCCGTGGTCAAAGAGTTAGGGACTAAAGATTGGCAAAAAATTGCAAAATTCAAGTTGCACAATGTTGCACACTTGTGTGCGCAGCAATACGAACATACTAATATTTTGCCCGCAAAAGCCAAGATACTGCCAGCATGCCCTGCCTGAGGAAGTGACCAATGCTAGCGTATGGTTTTAAAAGAGTTTTTCGTCAATCCTGCTGACATGATATGTATTCCTGTACAGAATCCAGCTGGCCAAAGTCTGGAGTTTTCTGTAGTTTGAAACCTGACAAGCGTCATCAAGCTTTGGCAGCAGGATTGTCATGCCCTTCTTTTGGATTTTCGGATTTGACTCCGTCCCAGAGCCTCACTTTCTTCATAAACTTTGCGCCTTGTACAGAGCCTTCCTAGCTGCTTATCACGATACACATCAATACACACCTGTACCCTTTGCACGTCAACAGGCAGTTCAGGTGACTTCATCACAGGCGGTCAGTTGGGGCACCTCAGATGGCCAAATCGTCGCTGTGGTTCAGAGCCAGCAAGCCGAACGGATGTTTTCCAAGCAGCGCTTTCAATACGTACCGGTACCAATGGATTTCCCTTCGGCCAGTGCTTGAGGCCGAGAACAGTGGAGCGAGTTTAAGAAAGAACAGATTGAAGAACAGCGTCTCAACGTCGTTCTCGAGGCCAAGGGGGTGACACGTCAATTGAATCAATTGAATCAATTGCCAAAGATGGGTTTTTCTTGTAGTGGCCCAAAGCATTCAAGATGCCAGTGCTGCCCGTCGAGCTGTCGTTGATTTCTCACCAGGGATCATTGTCCATAGGGATACTGTACATACTTGACTCATACTTACTTATAGGGTGGATATGGGTGGACGTGTTTCATGAGCCCAACAAACCGCCAGGAGTTTGAGACAGAACCTGCAGCGACCCACGAGAACTTCTTTTCTGGGTGCGGTGGCAAAGTTACATTCCTCACGGCAAAGGTGAATCAGAACCAGGGGAATACAGATGGATTGCAGTCTGACTTGGATAGTCTTTTGTCTCCATTTCAACTCGGTGGCAGCTTCATAAGCAGGAGCTTTGTCACACACATCCAAATTTATTACTGTTTGCTATTGGTGGTTTATGTCGTCTTTTGTACAGTCATTCATCCGATAGGAAGAACTGTCAATAGTGGAATGCCCTTTCCGTTTCCATACACCGGTTCTGCTTGGGCGGTTTCGTTGCCACCTCCGTCCAATATATTTGTCCCAAAGAAAAGGCATCAGATTTTCCGGCTAACGGTTCAGCACAACCCAACTAGTATCGTTCTATAGGATGCTACAGGCTGTGATTGGATCATAAATAGATAGGCACCATCATAATCAGGCTATACATTGCTATGCCCCAATGATCCCTAATGATGAGTTCAGACCCAGCCAAGATTTTGCCCCCAAAAAACAGATAGAACTCTGAGATTTGAGGTCCGGGCCAGTGACCGACGCCTCGAGAGTGCCCGGAGGGGAGGTATTGCAGCCATGGGCACAGGGAAGGAATCGCAGTGTTTGACCATGGTGAAGATTCTCGTCTACTTGTCGTCTACATAAATGTCGTTGGGTGCCGTCAATGACTGCTGTTTGCGAAAGATCTTCTTTGAGATTCGAATTGCAAAGATATGGGGAGAGATGGTGGTCGGAAGATCATGGGCACCATGTGCCGAGCTCGAAGTACTCAAAATGGGATGTCGAGGTGCTCGATTTCAAGAGGTTCGAATTTGTATTGCTCAAGAGGCCCAATGTAGTGCCTCCATGCAGTCTGTAGGTCTCTAGTCCTGCAGAACTACTCTCATGATCACTCATAGATATTCCCACCAAAGTGTTACCCCACAATATGTCTATATATTGTTTTTTGCGCAACATGTGCAATAGTCGAAGGAAGTTTAGAAGTCAAACTTCCGACAATATGGACAGATGAAAAGCAGAGATGGGAAGAGTCAGAGAGAAGAGAAGAGTAGAAGAGAGAAGATCAGAGAAGAGAAAGAGTCAGAAGAAAGAAGATGCAGATGCGCGAAAAGGTAGGAAAGTCGCGAAACACTGTGTTTTTCCAATGATTTGTGGCTCCGGAGGGTCGAAAAGTAGGCTCGCTAAAGCGGCGGGTGCGGAGCCATCTGGCCAGATGAGAGATGAAAAATTGCACGCCGTTGTGGCGCAAAGCACCTTTCCAAGTGAAAATGCACAAAACACACCAGCTTCGGACCACTTTTGGAAGTTGCGATGTCGAAAAAGTGCACGCCGTTGTGGTGCGAAGCACATTTCGAAGTCAAAATGATAAAAACACCCGGGTTCGGACCATTTTTGGAAGTTGAGATGTCGAAAAAGTGCACGCTGTTGTGGCGCGAAGCACATTTCGAAGTCAAAATGTTAAAAGCACCAGGGGTTCGGACCACTTTTGGAGGTTCAGACGTCGTTTCGCGTGGCAGGCGCAAGGGATTGTGCACCTTGTCAAGAGTGAGCAAAACGTGAGGGTTTTGTAGCATTTCCAAAAACGATGGCAGGCGTGGGACATTTGAAGAGGATCTGCAAAGATGCATTTTCCGTGGCAGGCGCAGTACAAGAGACATCTTCATCAGAGCTGTTAGGAGGTCCGGGCGTTGATTTCCTGAGAGGGGTTGCATTTTGGAGCATCAGATCTTCAGGTTTTCTGAGATGATTTTGCGTGACAGGTGCAGCACTTCGTATGACCTGGCCTCACTTTTTCGTGGCAGGCGCAGTACTTTAGACAGGTGGAGTGGAAAAATCGCCAAACGCATTGGTACGAGGCCGTCAGCACTGCAGTCAACTTTCCATTTTTGAAGGAAGTCTCGCAGAATTGCTTTGTTTTTGATGTTGTCAACTTCGAAAAATGAGGAAGTCTCGCAGAATTGCTTCGTTTTTGACGTCGTCACGTGCAAACATTGAGGAAGTCTCGGAGAACTGCTTCGTGTTTGATGTTGTCAACGTTGAAAAATGAGGAAGTCTCGCAGAATTGCTGCGTTTTTGATGTTGTCAACTTTGAAAAATGAAGAAGTCTCGCAGAATAGCTTGGCGCGTAGCTTGGTTTTCAAGCTTGCAGAAAGACACGTAGATAGACAGACAGACAGACAGACAGACGGACAGACAGATAGATAGGTAGATAGCTAGATAGCTAGACACACAGTTAGATAGACAGATGAGATAAATAGATAGATGGATGGATGGATGGATGGATAGATAGGTAGGTAGGTAGATAGATAGATAGATAGGTAGGTAGGTAGGTAGGTATATAGTCAGAGAAAGAGAAAGAAAGAGAGAGAAAGAGAAGAGACCTCAACCACCTGTCGGTCCATCAGTGGCTTCGCTCTGCCATCGGTGACTCACAACAACCAATCTCTCCTATAGGTTTTCTATTTTTGAATCTTCTGCCACCGCCTTGTGCGGCACTACTGGTATAGCACCGTATTAGGTCCTTGAGGCTACATGGTGGGAGTACAAGACCATCTAGTTGGCAATAAATGTAGTGTATCCAGGCCTCCACTTACCCAGCAAGAATTTGCCTGGTGGCAAAAGTTCCTAAAAGCAAAGCGGAAGTTATATCAGTTCGCTTTTGAGAGGTTAACACATTTCAAAACACCAGAACTGCACCAAACTGATTGATGAATATTTCGTTCCTGCCACCTGATAAAGGGCGATTCACCACTCATGCGCTGGTGCAGCATGTTGCCTTGTCAGGCGCCGGCGGACCTGCAGGTCAAGTATGATGAGTTAGTGCAGTCGGGGGTCCTATTTTGTAGGATCCAAAGTTCCAAGTTTCAGACAGAAACCCTCGTTTGCTTTATTGGGCTATGTGTTTCCGGTTCGTTTGTCAGTGATTCTGTTTGTGCTGGACATTTGGTTTCTCTAGAATCTAGAACCTTGCTTGAACTGGATTGGGTCAGAGGGGATTGGTTTGATGTCATTGAAGTTGTTTAGGATTGCAAACTCTTTTTGTCGTTTTTGCATGTTTTTGCAATCATGCCCACACATGCCCACACCACCAAATAAAGCCCATATTAAGCCCCTGTGACCTCCATATCCTGAAATTTGTTGGGAACAGTTTCAGACAGGGATGGCTGAGGTACACTCTCATGCTAGAGAAGCAAAAGAAGAAACTGGAGGCAGACCGCCAGGGTTTTTCAAAAAATGTGGGACATGTTGTGAATCTGTAAATTCGTTTGACTTGCCAAAAGCTGTTTCCCAGGATGTTCCTCAATTGTGGCCCCAACCCACTGAACAGTCAAAAGAGATGAGGACAATTTCAGTCGAGGCGCCGTCCTGTGCCGCTAGAGACCCAGGCAGAGATAGAAGAGCTGAAGGGCTCCAAGCCTTTGTCCTCCAGTGAGAGCTTCGTCCTAAGTGATCCAAGTTGATCTAAGTGCTTCACTGTGCTTCACTAGCGTCCAACCGGTCAAGGTGATGAGATGGTTTCGGCGCTTCAGGGATCTTCAGGAACAGTTTGGCCAGTACAGAGGACTAAAATGACTAGAACAGGAAATCCAATGAACTCCATTCAAATCGTTCAAATCATTTCAAATCCATTCATGCTGATTCGGAAGTATCACCAAGCACATGAAATGGCATCCCCTCGATTCTACCTGCTGTGCTGCGCCCAAGGTGGCGGTTACAACCTTTTCCATATCCTTCTGGTCGCTTTGGTCCTTGATCCCCAGTGACTGGTGGAAGGTACCAGGTCTTTCCGTGGGATGGTTGGTTGAGTCAATCGACAAGTTGTCCTTTGCAAGAGGGTCATTGCGTCCATCATCAAATAAATCGTACCTGCTCTGTATTGCTTTGTGATATATCTGGCCCATTCAGAGATTCAGCCCCACCAATATCAACCGCAAAATAGATCAATCCAGTACTGAGTCCCTCCAGTTATTTCAGGCAACGTTGGCTTGACTGACCCATACAAGTACCATTCATCCTATACCAATCTCTGAGATGCGACTTCTGGAAACCCAAGCTCTCAATCCCTCCAAATTCATAAGCCATGGCTGATGAATCAAGATGAGTCCAGGGGAATTTACGAAATTTGACTTTGTGTCCAAAGCTGATAGCAGAGAGAAAACTTCGTAGCATGATTTTGCATGAACGGTGCATATGCTGGTCTGAGAAGTAATCCGTGGACAGATGCAGAAACGGCAAACTCTGGACCTGTTTGGTTTTGCATGCCCTAGCAAGAGTTGACCGGCCAACCTGGTGGGTCACTGAAGATGCAGTCGCTGAGATCTCCTTTCTGCTCTCTTATGCCGCCAAATTCATCGGTCCCGCGGCCAAGTCAGTCCAGGTCATAGGCAACCAGAAATAGTATAGGGAGATTGGATCAGATTGGATCAGATTGGATCAGATCGGATCAGATTGGATTGGTTTCTATGATTTTCTATTGATTCTTGGGCCCCAGGCCCTGGCATTCTGCCATTCGAACCTTTGCACATGGATATTGCTTACATGCGCACAGATATCAAACATGGTTTGCATGGAAGAGGTGGTATTGACTGGAAAAGAGGGTGCCTGCATGCACACCCTCATGCCTCCTTAAGAGCGGCCAGATTGGAAGAAGATAAGCATGATGATCCGTGTTGCTTGATGCCTTGTTTTTTTGAGGTTCCTTCAGTTCAGAAACATTACAGTAACCGGATCGGCTATATACCTTAATATGTTTTACCTGGATAAGATTTGAATGAAGGGGGGAGGTGTGTTTGTCCCACATACAGAGGGGACCTAGGCCTCACCTCACACCTGGTTTGTAGGGTCTTGATTCTCATTAATTAATTGTCATTAATTCTCATTGATTCATTTCGAACCTTTCTTTCGCCCTTAGGCTGAGAACAGCCCTTCTGCAGGAAACACCGAAATCGCGCCGCAGTGAGCCTTGACCGTGGCCGACAGAGGTGGCTGCGGCCCCAAAAAGTTTCATACAATTGAACAGTTTGTGATATACTCAGTGATGCAATTAGAAATACATAATATAATTAATATAATAAGAATATACGATAACGTTACTGTATATATATAATACATAGCGATACAATGTGATACATAGCCCAAGCCAGACCACTGTATACTCCCAGCAGGTTGTGCTCCCAACAACTACTCTGGCAGGATTTCCAATTGAACTCACATTCTACCATATTGAGCCATCTTGCCATGTTGGTCCATGTTTTTTCTAACAAGACTTGGGGTGTCAGAAATCGCAATGGCAAATAGAAGGCAACGAAGCTTCCTTATCTAGTTGACCATGGACTGCAATACTTGAAAGGAGATGGCTCGAAAAGGACCCTGAACCGACTCTGTCGACGGTATGGCTGGACATGCAGCGGCAGGTGGCTAGAAATCTGCCAGGACGTTTTCACCACAAATCTCGGGGTGCTCCAAGTTTACAAAAGGCAGCCACTTGTAGGCAAACAATTGCATATTGCATGTGATAAAAATGCCAAGAGTGACAGTAGTGTAGTGTTGATGTCATTACCTCATTGACGTACGTATTGATGCGTGCAGAGACATCGCACATTTGACACCATGCTTTCCGCACTGGGTAAAGCTTAGCTTTGGCGCATTGGTTTCTCGAAATGGAGCACCACGCCAGCAAAACAGTCGCCAAGGGATGAAAGATGTTTGGATCAATGGTTAAAAAGAGCCTTCGCCTGTGCTTGAATCGGATACCCTGACAGTCCTCAAATCGTTACAACGAACAGAGTCCTGTTGCTAGGTGTACTCTTCATTCCTCTGCATTCCTTTGCTACTCATTTTACTCATTTGGCACGTTGATCCCACAACAAGAGGGGGGTAACAAGTCCAATTAAGACGGAGCCGCTCGCGATTTAAACATCGGGTCATACCGGCACATGCTTCTTCCCAGGGATTTTGTCACGCTTCTCAAGTTTAAAGACTGCATCGCCTCAACTTTTATATTGCTGTAACGCTCATTTAATTCGTTTGTTGGTTATGTATGTTTATTTTGAGTCATCCAATTGTTCCATGCTCAACACGATGAGTTTCGACAAAGATTGTTGGTAGATGTTGGCAGATATGAAGAATGAAGACCTAGCTGCTGGTGAAGAGGGCATCAAATTTAACTGGCATGCGCAGACACCTGTCAAAATCTCTGATCCTACGATCCGTGGATCTTGGTACTTCCAGTCATTTAATATGCCATCCACTATTTCATGGCCAAGTGCGAACTGTGTCCTCAAAGAAAACACTCTTCCCCAACTGGTGGGCGGTGCGCTACCTAATCATCCTTTAATCGGGAGCAATGTCACAGTCGCCACAAAAATATGTGTGTAAGATCGAGCCATCTAGCCCTACTTGTAGGTTTCAGGAAAGATGACATTGCACTTGGGATTCCCCAACTGCAGATCATTGTCTTAAGGTCCTAAGGCTCAGGAACCCCAGGTGGAACCAGGACCATAGCCGCAGTTGCATTCCAAAACCGCAGCTGGCCCATGTGGGAGCCCTTTGTGACTGCCCCTGTCCCGCCGCGACTCGGATTTACCTGTGTGACAGGGAGATATGATATGATATAATGTGATATGATATGATATGATGACATGTGGTAGTCTTTGATTGGAGCAAACGAGTGCTGCTGGCCACTGTAGTTGACTTCTGACCGCCCATTTTAGTTGTCCTGTTCCCTGCATAGTTGGTGAAAATGTTGATTTCATTCCATTTCATTCCATTTTCTGTGTACAGCTTGAAGGAGGTGATTTGTACCGTGAAAGCTAATTTGCAAGTCCCTCCTATTCAGCCTTTCGAAGGAACTCCTAGGATAAATGTTGGTGACACATGCACCCTCCTTCCAGCCACCGGCCACTTAGATGAGGTAATGGCGGAACTTCGGACACAGTGTGGCATCCCAGGAACAATATATTTACATATACAGTATTTCTCTATATATATAATATATGTTGATGTGATACTGTGCAAGGACCAATTCTTTGAGACTTTGGAAAGCAGACCAAAAATATTGATGAGTCATGCAAAAAGATGCAAAAAGGGGATAACTTATTACCCCAAGACTCCGGGAAGGCGTTCAAAAGAATCCACAGGTTGAGACGGGTTGGAAAAGGGTCCCGAAAATCTTCCCGTATGGTTCATTCAAATTGGTGTGTATCTCTACAATGATATATTTATACATACATGCATATTATATATAACTGTGTGTATATGTATGTATATATGTATGTAATGTAATCTAAATGTAATGTCATGTAATGTAACGTAATATAACGTAACGTAACGTAACGTAGCGTAGCGTAGCGTAACGTAATGTATGCATGGTAATGTATGCATGGTAATGTATGTATGGTAATGTATGTATGGTAATGTATGTATGGTAATGTATGTATGGTAATGTATGTATGGTAATGTATGTATGTAATGTATGTATGTTAATGTATGTATGTAATGTATGTATGGTAGTGTATGTGTGGTAATGTGTGTAAAATAATGTATGTATGGTAATGTATGTATGGTAATGTATGTATGGTAATGTATGTATGATAATGTATGTATGGTAGTGTATGTATGGTAGTGTATGTATGGTAGTGTATGTTAGATAGGTATGTATGGTAGTGTATGTATGGTAGTGTATGTATGGTAGTGTATGTGTGGTAGTGTATGTGTGGTAGTGTATGTACGGTAGTGTATGTATGGTAGTGTATGTATGGTAATGTATGTATGGTAATGTATGTATGGGAATGTATGTATGGTAATGTATGTATGGTAATGCATGTATGGTAGTGTATGTATGGTAATGTATGTATGGTAATGTATGTATGGTAATGTATGTATGGTAATGTATGTATGGTAATGTATGTATGGTAATGTATGTATGGTAATGTATGTATTGTAATGTATGTATGGGAATCTATGTACGGCAATCTATGTACGGCAATGTATGTACGGCAATGTATGTACGCTAATGTATGTACGCTAATGTATGTACGCGAATGTATGTACGGTAATGTATGTACGCTAATGTATGTATGGTAATGTTTGTATGGTAATGTTTGTATGGTAATGTATGTATCGTAATGTATGTATGGTAATGTGTGTAAGGTAATGTATGTATGGTAATGTATGTATGGTAATGTATGTAGGGTAATGTATGTATGGTAATGTATGTATGGTAGTGTATGTATGGTAGTGTATGTATGGTAGTGTATGTATGGTAGTGTATGTTAGATAGTGTATGTATGGTAGTGTATGTATGGCAGTGTATGTATGGTAGTGTATGTGTGGTAGTGTATGTATGGTAGTGTATGTGTGGTAGTGTATGTATGGTAGTACATGTATGGTAGTGCATGTATGGTAGTGTATGTATGGTAGTGTATGTATGGTAGTGTATGGATGGTAGTGTATGAATGGTAGTGTATGTATGGTAGTGTATGTATGGTAGTGTATGTATGGTAGTGTATGTAGGGTAGTGTATGCATGGTAGTGTATGTATGGTAGTGTAAGTATGGTAGTGTACGCATGGTAGTGTATGTAAGGCAGTGTGTGTATGGTAGTGCAAGTATGGTAGTGTATGTATGGTAGTGTATGTATGGTAGTGTATGTATGGTAGTGTATGTTAGATAGTGTATGTATGGTAGTGTATGTATGGTAGTGTATGTATGGTAGTGTATGTGTGGTAGTGTATGTGTGGTAGTGTATGTACGGTAGTGTATGTATGGTAGTGTATGTATGGTAATGTATTATGTATGTATGGTAGTGTATGTATGGTAGTGTATGTACGGTAGTGTATGTATGGTAGTGTATGTATGGTAATGTATGTATGGTAGTGTATGCATGGTAGTGTATGTATGGTAGTGTATGTATGGTAGTGTATGTATGGTAGTGTATGTATGGTAGTGCATGTATGGTAGTGTATGTATGGTAGTGTATGTATTGTAGTGTATGTACGGTAGTGTATGTATGGTAGTGTATGTATGGTAGTGTATGTATGGTAGTGTATGTATGGTAGTGTATGTATGGTAAAGTATGTATGGTAGCGTATGTTTGGTAGCGTATGTATGGTAGTGTATGTATGGTAGTGTATGTATGGTAATGTATGTATGGTAGTGTATGTATGGTAATGTATGTATGGTAATGTATGTGTGGTAATGTATGTGTGGTAATGTATGTGCGGTAATGTATGTGCGGTAATGTATGTGCGGTAATGTATGTGCGGGAATGTATGTGCGGTAATGTATGTGCGGTAATGTATGTGCGGTATTGTATCTGTGGCAATGTATGTGTGGCAATGTATGTTTGGCAATGAATGTGTGGCAATCTATGTGTGGCAATGTATGTGTGGCAATGTATGTGTGGCAATCTATGTGTGGCAATGTATGTGTGGCAATGTATGTATGGCAATGTATCTGTGGCAATGTATCTGTGGCAATGTATTTGTGGCAATGTATCTGTGGCAATGTATCTGTGGCAATGTTTGGCAATGTTTGGCAATGTATGTGTGGCAATGTATGTGTGGCAATGCATGTGTGGCAATGCATGTGTGGCAATGCATGTGTGGCAATGCATGTATGGGAATGCATGTGTGGGAATGCATGTATGGGAATGTATGTATGGGAATGTATGAATGGGAAGGTATGTATGGGAATGTATGCGTGGTAATGTATGAATGGGAATGTCTGTATCGTAATGTATGTATGGTAATGTATGTATGGTAATATATGTACGGTAATGCATGTATGGTAATGTATGTATGGTAATGTATCTATGGTAATGTATGTATGGTAATGTATGTATGGTAATGTATGGTAGTGTATGTATGGTAGTGTATGTATGGTAGTGTATGTATGGTAGTGGATGTATGGTAGTGTATGTATGGTAGTGTATGTATGGTAGTGTATGTATGGTAGCGTATGTATGGTAGCGTATGTATGGTAGTGTATGTATGGTAGTGTATGTATGAGAGTGTATGTATTGCAATGTATGTATGGTAGTGTATGTATGGTAATGTATGTATGGTAATGTATGTATGGTAATGTATGTATGGTAATGTATTGTTGGATGGTTGGATGGATGGTTGGATGGATGGATGTATGGATGTACCTATGGATGGGTGTATGGATGTATGGATGTATGGATGTGTGTATGTATGTTGGTATGGTATGGTATGGCAGTGTGGTGTGGTGTGGTATGGTATGGTATGGTATGTATGAATGTATGAATGTATGAGTGTATGAATGTATGAATGTATGATGATGAATGTATGAATGTATAAATGTATGAATGTATGAATGTATGAATGTATGAATGTATGAATGCATGCATGCATGTATGTATGTATGTATGGTATGTATGTATGTATGTATGTATGTATGTATGTATGTATGTAATGCAATGTTATGTCATGTTATGACTATGCTGTGTTATGTATGTATGTGTGTATGTATGTAATGTATGTAATGTATGTGATGTATGTGATGTATGTAATTTATGCGATGTATGTAATGCATGTAATGTATGTAATGTATGTAATGTATGAAATGTATGTAATGTATGTAATGTATGTAATGTATGTAATGTATGTAATGTATGCATTGCATGTAATGTATGTAATGCATGTAATGTATGTAATGTATGTAATGTATGTAACGTATGTAACGTTTGTAACGTATGTAGTGTATGTAGTGTATTCAGTGTATGTAATGTATGTAATGTATGTAATGTATGTAATGTATGTAATGTATGTAATGTATGTAATGTATGTAGTGTATGTAATGTATGTAATGTATGTATGTATGTATGTAATGTATGTAATGTTTGTAATGTATGTAATGTATGTATGTATGGTTTGGCAATGTTAATGGTAAGGGTAAAGGGTAGGGTAATGGTAAGGGTAATGGTAAGGGTAATGGTAAGGGTAATGGTAAGGGTAATGGTATGGTAATGTAATGTAATGTGTGTATGTATGTATGTTATCTATGGTATCTATGGTATCTATGGTATCTATGGTATCTATGGTATCTATGGTATCTATGGTATCTATGGTATCTATGGTATGTAATGTAAATTAATGTAATGCAATGTTAAATAGTGTAATGTAATGTTATATAATGTAATGTAATGGTATGGTATGGATGTATGTATGTATGTATGCATGTTTTTTGTTATGTATGTAATGTATGTAATGTATGTTATTTATGTTATGTATGTTATGTTATGTTATGTGTTGTTATGTTATGTTTTGTTATGTATGTGGTGTATGTTATGTTATTTTATATTGTGTTGTGTTATGTTGTGTTATGTAATGATATGGTATGGTATGCATGTAATGTATGTAGTAATGTATGTATGTATGTAATGTAATGTAATGTATGTATGTATGTATGTATGTATGTATGTATGCATGGATGTATGTATGTATGTATTTATGTATGTATGTATGTAAGTAAGTGAGTAAGTAAGTAAGTAAGTAATGTTGTGTATGTATGTAATGTTATGTATGTATGTAATGTTCTTTATGTATGTAATGTTATGTATGTATGTAATGTTATGTATGTATGTAATGTTATGTATGTATGTATGTATGTATGTAATGTTATGTATGTATGTATGTATGTAATGTGTGTTATGTATGTATGTATGTATGTATGTAATGTAATGTAATGTAATGTCATGTAATGTAATGTAATGTATTTATGTATGTATGTAATGTAATGTAATGTAATGTATTTATGTATGTATGTAATGTAATGTAATGTAATGTTATGTTATGTTATGTATGTAATGTTATGTAATGTTATGTAATGTTATTTAATGTTTTGTAATGTTTTGTAATGTTATGTATGTATGTATGTATGTATGTAATGTATGTATGTATGTATGTATGTATGTATGTGTGTATGTGTGTATGTGTGTATGTGTGTATGGTTATGGTATGTATGTATGTATGTATGGTTATGGTATGTATGGTTATGGTATGTATGGTTAT